TGGGCCTCCAGCCTGCTGCCCATCCCGCTCCTTTCCGGCCTCCAGCCTGCTGCCCATCCCGCTCTTCTCTGGGCCTCCAGCCTGCTGCCCATCCCGCTCCTCTCTGGGCCTCCAGCCTGCTGACCATCCCGCTCCTCTCTGGACCTCCAGCCTGCTGCCCATCCCACTCCTCTCTGGGTCTCCAGCCCGCTGGCCATCCCGCTCATCTCCGGCTTCCAGCCCGCTTGCCATCCTGCTCCTTTTCAGCCTCCAGCCTGCTGCCTATCCCGCTCCTCTCCGGCTTCCAGCCCGCTGGCCATCCCACTCCTCTCTGGGTCTCCAGCTCGCTGGCCATCCTGCTCCTCTCCGACTTCCAGCCCGCCGGCCATCCTGCTCCTTTCTGGCCTCCAGCCTGCTGCCCATCCCGCTCCTCTCTGGCTTCCAGCCTGCTGGCTGTCCCTGCTCCCCTCTGGGCCTCCAGCCCACTCTGCTCTAATCTCACAAACAAAATCTCACACACACTCTCATACATACACAAACACTCTCACACAGACGCACTCATACACACACACATACAAACACACTCACAATCTCACACACATACACTCTCTCACACACAGACAAATGTGCACACTCTCACATTGAGAAAGTAGATATTAAAACATATGGAATCCTGGGTTTTATGAATAGACACCTGGGATTCAACAACAGGGAAGTTATGGTGATTGTTCATTTTAAATTCTGGTTCAGCTTCAATTGCACAGTGTTGGCAATCCTTAGGAAGATGTGATTGCATGAGAGAATGTCCAGGAGAATGGTTCCAGAGTTGAAGAACTTCACTGAAATGGACAGATCGGGAAAACTGAGAATGTTATCCTTCGGGAGGAGAAGGTCGAAAAGGGATTCGATTAAGATGTTCAAAATCTGAAAGGACCCGGACAGATCAGACGGGGAGAAACTGTTTCCGTTATTGGAAGATTAATCATATTGATTGAATGATTTATTGTGATGTGTATTTTACAGTGAATAATACGGTAAAAAACTTCAATTGTCACCACAATCTGGCACCATTTTGAATAGTTTAGGAATGAAAAGATATAGCGGAGAGAGAGTCTACCTTCTTTCTGCCGCCTCCACCATGAGTCCTGAAGGCAGATTACCAACAACACCTGTGCCGTCACCCCTCCTCCACTGCCTGTGCCAGACACATCAATGCCAGAGTTACCAATTTTCAGGTGCCATCTCTTTGCCACTGGGTTCACCTCACTGCCAATGCCGGGTCCCGTGCTGGACACACAATCTCCCTGCATCCAGGAGTCCCCAGCTCCGGGCCTACCAAGACCAGGAATCCCTGGCTGTGCTGCAGCTACTGCCTTGCTGTCACTCGGAGTACCCATTCTGGGCCTACCACACCGTCTCGGCAAGAGTTCCACTACAGCCGCCCTCCTCCGTGATGTCTGCTGCTGCCAACAGGAAGAAGATGAAGAAAAAGAAAAAAGGAAAAGAACAAAGCGAAAACGGTCAGGAAAGAAGGAAGGAAGCAGCCGGCCTGGAGTAGACTGTCTCAAGATCCCGAACGCTACCTACCTTTCTGGTGCTGCCACCTTGACACATTTAAAGTGATTGGAGAAAGGCCTCAAGGGGAGAGAGGAAACTTTTTTTTAAAGGAGTGACTGTTTGTGATCAGGAATGGGCTGCCAGAGAATGTGGTGGAGGCAGGTTCAATCAAGGCTTTCAAGAGGGAATTGGATCATGATCTGAAGAAAGATAATTGGTAGGGCTATGGGGAGGTGGGGCTCAGCAATTCGCTCTTTTTGAGAACTGGCACGGACTCTGTAGGCGGAATGACCTCCTCCTGTGCTTCTAATCTATGGACTGAGTCAGGCATGATATCAGCTAAGTGCCTTTTTTTGTCAAGTTTCATGAAGGGTCTTCCCATACAATCGTCCTAAATTCCCTTTGGTACTCTGCTGATCTGATGTTAGCCGATTCTCCCGCTTACCTTGGCAGGAGTACTCTCCACTTCTGGGATCTCCCCGGATTCCTGACACTGGGTGACATCTCTGAAAGACCATGGTGCACCCCTGCCGAGCCTGCAAGTTTCGTGACATTTTTCCCATACTTAGTATGAGGTGAAGTCGGTACCCCAGTTTGTGGGCAGGGACCCTGTGGGTTCCAGAGGTAGGGGTGGTGCAGAGGTGGTCCATCCTTCTCCACACCTCGTCCCACAGGACCACCAGAGGAGGCTGTAGCACTAGACCTTGTCTGCACGGTTCAAGGTTACCACTTACGTCAACGTGAAAAGGTCAATGATCACCACCAACTCTGCCAGGTCGTATGCCACCATCTTCTCTCTCCTACCTCACACTCACTCTGTCTGTCATACTGCACCCATCTCCCATCAAGCCCCTACCACCCTTGCTACTGCATGCAACATCATCTCTCTCATGCACCCTCACATCGCACCCCTTAGATGACCAACCGTATATAGCCTCTGCGCTACCTACTCACTCACTCAGAGCACCTCACCACCTTTTGGTGAGACATTTTGGTAAGGCAAATCAGGACAGGACTTATACACTTAATGTTAAGGCCCTGGGCAGTGTTGCCGAACAAAGAGACCTTGGGGTACAGAATCCTAGTCCCTTAAAAGTGGAGTTGCAGGTAGACGAGTTAGAGAAGAAGACGTTTGGAATGCTTATATTTATTGGTCAGTGCTTTGAATAAAGGAGTTGGGAGGTCATTTTGTGGCTGTACAGGACATTGGTCAGGCCACTTTTGGAATACTGCATTTAGTTCTGGTCTCCCTGCTGTAGGAAAGATGTGAAACTTGAAAGCATGCAGAAAAAATTATAAGGATGTTACCAGGGTTGGAGGGTTTGAGTTATAGGGAGAGACTGAATAGGCTGGGGCTATTTTCCCTGGAGTGTCGGAGGCTGAGGGGTGACCTTATAAAATCATGAGGGGCATGGATCGGGTGAATGGCCAAGGTCTTATTCTCAGGGTAGGGGAGTTCAAAACTAAAGGGCTTGATTTCAGTTGAGAGGGGAAAGATTTAAAGGGGACCTACTTTTTCACGCAGAAGATGGTGTGCATATGGAATGTTCTGCCAGGGGAAGTGGCAGAGGCTGGTACAATTACATTTAAAAGGCATCAAGATGGGCACATAAATAGGAAGGGTTGAGAGGGATATGGGCCAAATACTGGCAATGGGACTAGATTAATTTAGGATATCTGGTCAGCATGGACAAATTGGACCGAAGGGTCTGTTTCTGTGCTGTATAACTCTATGACTCTTTCTCCCACCTGCACCAGGGCTGACAGACATGCCATCAATCCCTCCCTTTCCCGGATTGTCAGAGAAATAGGCAGGACAAGCACTGGGATGCCCAACATTCAGCACCACACCTGCTATGAGAAAATTACCATGGACCATGACATGTCCTATAGACATCAATGTCATGGCGAAGCTGCACAAAACATTGTTTACTGAGTTCTGAAGGGGAGTCATATCAGACTTGAAACATTAACTTTTGTCTTTGCTTTCTCCCACAGCCTTCATGCCAGCCTTGGCTGGTACAGAAATTGATCCTTTGCCGCTGATGTCACCCTGTATTGTAAATCAGCCATCCTGCCGACTGAGCTAACCAACCACCGAATCTCCAATTAATGCCACTGGAAGTGTATTCTTAAGATGCCAGAACCTCCACCTCTTGTCTATCTTCTGTCTCCTGTGGGTATGGTTGGCATGAGTACAGTTTGTTTAGTAAACGACCACGATGTTAGATTGAACTGAACATCCTAAACTGTATATGAATTGGTCAAGGGAGAGGAGAGGCAGTACACAAAACAAATTGAATGGAATCAGTATGTAAAGGATTGTGATGGAAGGTACTGAATAAAGGCAAAGTTTACCTGAAAAAACCTAAAAGAGGAAGTGAGAACCTTGCAGTCCAATGGTCTTGTGGCATTGCTCTACTTCCCAGTCATTCTTCTGTCTTATGAGATTGGAAAGTAAGAAATGGGAACAGAAAGCAGACGCAGAGGTATTCTGAGATGGTAGGAACTGCCGATGCTGGAGAATCTGAGATAACCAGTCGAGACACGAAATGTCAGCTTTCCTGCTCCTCTGATGCTGCTTGGCCTGCTGTGTTCATCCAGCTCTACCCCTTGTTATCGCAGAGGTATTCTTCTTTGTTTTGGTGTAGTTCTACAACGCAGGGCCAATGGGAAATTTCTGACAGAGGTACAGAGAAAGGCCACACACACACTGATCAAGTCCTGAATTTCAACAGCAATGACCCCAACATCCACAAACAGAGTTGCGTAAAAACAATATTTAAACGAGTGACAACACGCTGAAGCAAGCTGGAACTCGGCCAAAATGAAGAAGAATACCTCTACCAAGTATTTAAGGACAGCGGATACCTGAACAGCTGGGTCCAACGATGCAAGAATGCCATCCCCTATTCCCAATTCCTTTGTCTCCGCTGCATCTGCTCCCGAGATGAGGCATTTCACTCCCGGACATCCCAGATGTCCTCTTTCAAGGACCACAATTTCCCCTCCACAGTGGTCGAAAACGCCCTCGACCGCATCTCTTGCGTTTCCCACAACTCATCCCTCACATCCCCTCCCTGCAACAACAAAGACAGAATCTCCCTCGTCCTCATGTACCACCCCACCAACTTCCGGATTCAACGCATCATCCTCCGCCACTTCCGCCACCTGCAATCTGACCCCACTACCAAGGACATTTTTCCCTCCCCACCCTTGTCTGCCTTCCGGAGGGACCACTCTCTCTGTGACTCCCTCATCCACTCCACACTGCCCACTAGCTTTGAGATAACCAATTCCAACAGATGTCAGAGTTTAAATACCAGGCAGGAAAACACAATGGCGCTTCATCAGAGGCTGCGCTGATGATGTTACCCAGCAGGGTAATGAAACGTCTGCAATCTAACAAACTAGCTCGGCGAGCGAACCAACCACAGCATCCACAACCTGAGCTACAAATCTACTCAAGAACCTTAAAGATCAGATGATCACAAGTTAGAAGGCTTTAAGGGGGTCAGGTGAGGTTTAAAGTGACAACTTAGAGAGCTTGCACGGATTCTGTCCGGTGAATGACCTCTGTCCATGCTCTAATCTATGGGCTGAGTCTTACTAGAATTTGGCAAACTGCTATTTTTGTTGTATTACATGGAGAGCTTCTCTTAGTGTGTTTCTGCACAATCTCTGTAAGTGACGACTATACCAGTTAGAATCATAAAATCTATGAATAGTATCTCAAAGAGGCTGTTTGGCCCAGTGAGTCTACACCAACCCTCCAAAGAGCATCCCACCCAGGCCCACCCCCCTTAGCCTATCACTATAACTCCACATTTCCCAGGGCTAACCCACCAAGCCTGCACATCCCTGGATGCTGTGGGCAATTTAGCATGGCCAATCCACCTAAGCTGCAAAAAGAGATAACAAGGCGTAGAGCTGGATGAACACAGCAGGCCAAGCAGTATCAGAGGAGCAGGAAGGCTGGTGTTTCAGGCCTAGACCCTTCTTCAGAAATGGGGGAGGGGAAGGGGGTTTGAAATAAGTAGGGAGAGAGGGGGAGGCGGATAGAAGATGGATAGAGGAGAAAATAGGTGGAGAGGAGACAGACAGGTCAAAGAGGCGGGGATGGAGACAGTAAAGGTGAGGAGGGGAGGGAGGGAGGAGATAGGTCAGTCCAGAGAGGACGGCAGGTCAAGGGGGCGGGATGAGGTTAGTAGGTAGGAGATGGGGGTGGGGCTTGAGGTGGGAGGAGGGGATAGGTGGGAGGAAGGACAGGTTAGGGAGGCGGGGATGAGCTGGGCTGGTTTTGGGATGCAGTAGGGGGAGGGGAGATTTTGAACCTTGTGAAGTCCACATTGATACCATTGGGCTGCAGGGTTCCCAAACGGAATATGAGTTGCTGTTCCTGCAACCTTCGGGTAGTATTGTTGTGGCACTGCAGGAGGCCCAGGATGGACATGTCGCCTGAGGAATGGGAGGGGGAGTTGAAATGGTTCGCGACTGGGAGGTGCAGTTGTTGAGTGCGAACCGAGCGTAGGTGTTCTGCAAAGCAGTCCCCAAGCCTCCGCTTGGTTTCTCCAATGTAGAGGAGGCTACCAGGGGAACAGCAGATGCAGTATACCACATCAGCAGATGTGCAGGTGAACATC